TTCTCTTTCTCTCTCTCTTTTTCTTTCTCTCCCCCCCTCTCTCTCTCTCTGGTCAACTTTATCGTTTAATTCCCAGTGCTAGAAACAGAGGATGTAACTCCAGATGACTCTGTCGCGAGCAGAAAGCATCGGTTATGTCATAAGAGCAGTTCTACACCAAGAGTTTTGAATTTATGCAAGTAAAAAAACATGAATGACTTTTCGCTGTCATACCCATCAATCCGCAATATTTTTGACATTTTTTATCCTGAACTAGACCCTAAAGATGATTCTCAGTCGGAATTATCGATAGGTAGGACTGTTGAAAACGATTGCAATGTTTCGCATAACATCGATGATGATTTTGACGATAGCGAAAGTGGTCGGAGATCAGCACTAGAGCTCCCAGAGGCTAGATCTACGGCTAGGTCTAATGAAGCTTTGACTGTAGTGGAGTCAGGGATCACACACACAAGACTTTACTCATAGAGTTGATCCTGAAAAACCAGTGTTTCAACTTTTTCCCCTTTTGCCCAGACTGTGCATTCATATATATATATATAAATTTTAGTAAAATCTGACAACAATTAGAGACGCAGTAAATAAAACAATGAAGCAACCTGGTTTTTTTTTGTAGTATCTCTATTTTAATTTAGGATTCTAGGGAGTTTTGAAAAAAGCCCTCGGGGTTGTAAGGTTTTTGTGAGAGACCATGGTAGGGTTGTATTTTGTACGCACACGACATAATGAAAAGTAAGGTTCCTTTAAATACAAATTTAGAGAGTAGCACTTGGCTATGTGCTTTACAACTATCATTAGCCCAGCAGACATAAAAAAACTAACTCAGTAACATTCTCGGCTTCGTGGGAAGCATACAGTGCAAGCTGCAGATTTCACGCGCTCGAACACTTAGAAACTGACAAGATCTTTCGCTGTCTTTACACACCTCATACATATTCGAACCGAGAACCTCCCTAGATTTCTCATATTCCCTAATCATCTGCGGCCTAGGAACGGTATTACTGAGCCAGACAGACAAAGGGGGGTGGATTTAACCCGTGGTGAAGTGGTTAGGTGCTTCGCCACTGCACACAGAAGATGGTTCAAAACCCGTGTGGAATTTGTCGATTATCTCTGGGTTTTTTGGTGCTGAATTGTATTCCTCTTAGCCCTGGTTGGTCGTGATAGGTAGATCGAAGCAGCCTCCCCCTAAATTATTTACACATTTTGATGGGGTTTTTAAACTGCTACAATTATGTTTTGTAGGTGGATGTATGGGTTGATTGACGAATAA